TGGAAAGAAAGAAATATCTCAAAGGGCAGCATGAAAGCAGAACAAAGTAGAAGCCATTTAACGAACATCTTGAAAAAGCTGTCAAACCATCTCCTCAGAATGGCAACGCATTGTTGAAGCAACTTTGTTTGATCATCGCTTCGCACTAATTCGCACTTTACACATTTGGAAATTCGCCGATTGGAAACTGTCCGGGCAGACAGAAATCATTAAGTATTGAAGCATTTATTTCCTACCTGTCGCCAAACTCTAGAAGCACTCACAGAAATTAGAAGGAAACGTCTACGTAATTTCTCTTCTTCTCTCACGCCCTACTAGACAGCTAATCGGCCGTTTGTACGTGAGAGCACAAGGGAGGTTGTTAAGGAACCGGGCCGAAAAGAAACGTTGTTCTAAGAGAATAACAAATAAGTCTAGGTAGTAGTAGTAGTAGTAGTAGTATCATCATCATCATCATCATCATCATCATCATCATCATCATCATCATCATCATCATCTTTATTATTATTATTATTATCATCATCATCATCATCATTATTATTATCATTATTATTATTATTATCATTATTATTATTATCATTATTATTATTATTATTATTTATCCTTGACCCCAATCAGACGCTCACTTTGCAGGCCACAGAGGCGCTGTTTTGTTGTACTTCCAAAAGAAACATTTAACATCCTTATTTGTGCAAACTTATGTGATTCTGTTTTGTTTACCTGAAACGTTCAAAGGTAGGTAACAACAGCCGAGGCATACTATAAAATATTCCAATCTTTGTTTCCAATTAGTGCACACTTTTCCCGTTTCTATTCTGTTGACGTTGAGCGTCGAGGGGAGATGCAGTTTTCTGTGGTACGATAACTCTGCAGCTCTGCCCATTGCGATGATATAGTTTCTAAGAGTTACGTTGATTCTCTCGGTTCATCTTTGACGTGGTCTGCCTCTTCTTCTCTAGCCTGACTTATTCGTTTAAATATAAGTACAGTAACCGTAAGTTTACGTCAGTAAATGTAGGAGATTGCACGCTCCCTTTGTCACGACGTACATCATTTAAGAGTCGGGCTTCGTCCCTGTCTGTCTAATGGAACCGAGTTTTACTTTTAGTTAGAGTTTTACGGCACTTGCAACACAATAATGTCATATAAATGCCGGAGATTACACGTGTTACGAGAGAGTAACACACACAAAAAAGGAGGGAAGATAGTTTAGTTTTTGTAAGAGTTTTACGGCATTTGCAACACAATAAGGTCATATAAGTGCCAAAGATTAAAGGTGTTACCAGAGAGTAACAAACATAAAAAAGAAGAAGGAGAGATCAGGACGATAGATGTTTGATTTTGAAAGAAGGAGCAAACCACACCAGAGCACCCGCCAACCATCCACTGAGGGGAAATAAAGACGATAGACGTTTGATAGGAAAGAAGAAGCAAATCACACCAGAGCACCCGCCAACCACTCACTTTTTTGGTAGCATAGCGAACCGAGGCTAAGAGGGTTACAACATCCCAGCAGAAAGACGGAGACTCGTGGTAAAACTCCCCACTGAAGGATTAAACTTACGTCGTCTGCGTGAAGCAGTTCTGAGCCTCACCACTACACCACAGTGTACCTTAAGAACAAGAGAGACCGGGAAGGGAATGTGATTGAGAGAAAGAGAAAGAGAGGAGGGGAGAACGAGAAAGAACAAAAGAAAGAACGATAGAGAGAGAGAGACACAGAGAGAGAGAGAGAGAGAGAGAGAGAGAGAGAGAGAT